TATATGTGTGTATATATATATAGAGCATTCTGCTACTTTCAGGCTGAATTCGGGTCAAATATCTCCGGAAGCTTAGAACTCGCACCCCTAAGCCCTATAGGCCCTAAAACCCTAAACCCCAAACCCCTAGCCCCTAAACCCTAAACCCTAAACCCTAAACCCCAAACCCCTAGCCCCTAACCCAAATTCATCCCAAACTGGGGTCCCATGATCCCTCTGTGGGGGAAGCTCAAGGGCCGCTAGAGATGCCTTGCAAGAAAGCTCCAGGAAACCAAGGTTTAGGGTTTAGGATGTCGGATTTGGGGTTTAGGTCTTGGGGTTTAGGGTTTACTACGGATATCATATAGCATGTTCATTTACAATACAATCTAACACAATATACTAAAAGATGGTGGGATATAGCATGCTCATTTAGCATAGATCTAATGCTGTATGAGATAAGCTGATATGATATAAAAATGCATATTAACATCATGATTATTGTGTTATGTACAACACATAACACAACCTAACATGGCATAGTACAAGACAGTACAGTGAAGCATGATCCATGCTAATTAAGACCGATCAAGATAAGATAAGATAATGTAGGGGCCTTTATTAATAATTAGAACAGGATTTTGGGGCCGTATAGTATAATTATGACAAGGAACCTCCAAAATGGTATAGGTAATTATTCAGGCCCCTATATTAAGTCTGAAAGTCCCAGCTCCGCCTCTTTTCGGTCCGGGGTGAATCCTGAGTTTGCTGCGGCCGCCCTGTGCGCATGGAACGGTGAGGGTCGCACGCTGAGGTATCATATCACCTCCTGTACAACTTTCAGAGGGATTGGAGCGTCTAAACCATAAAACGCTAAAGTGTCGGATGTCAAGAGTAAGGTTGGTGCACCAATCTTCATGGAGCAGCTGTACAGAACTCCAGATTCTGCACAATGAAGGCCGCACAAACCTGCAGGCCTCCGGGTGCCCGAGCCTTACACAAGGCAAAACAATTTGCCCGGAAGTGAAGACCAAAGTTTAGGGTTTAGGGTGTAGGGAAGAACCAGCAGGCAGAAGGAATGCCCTACGAAACCTCGTCAGAAGCCGTCAACAAGCAATTGTTTCCGGAGCGGCACCCTAAACCTTAAACCCTAAACCCTAAACCCAATCATCGGTGCTTTGACCGTCTTCGTGGGCGGTGGAAACGGCTGTCGCACGCCAAGCTGGAAGATGACGGGCTTATACTCGTCTGGCACGCCTTGGCAGGGTTTAGGGTTTAGGGTTTAGGGTTTAGGGGTTTAGAGTTTAGGAGTTTAGGGGTTTAGGGGTTAGGGAGAACTTCCTCTCATGGTTCTGGGGTTCAGGGTTTTGGCGTCTAATGTAGGGGCCTAAATACCAATCTATTTTGTTTGGGACGCGCCCTAATGAGGGCCCTGGAGTCCAACAGAAGAAGAAGAAGAATCTGTTTTGGAGGTTCCTTACTATAATTATAGTATCATGGGCTCAAAACCCTATTGCAATCATTGAGGCCCCTACATAAGTTCTGTAGGTTTTGGAGTTTAGGGCTTGGGGCTTCGGCCCAGTTTAGACTGCGGGGCTTTATACTTTCTAGCGCTTTATACTTTCTAGCGCTGACGATTGCTCACGTGGTTGTCTGGCTTCAGACCGCAAAAGTGCTTCCATGATCGGAGCGGAGCTGCCCCTTAATATATAATTGGTGAAACCAAAAAAAGGAACTACAATGGAGACTACAGGTATGACACAACCATATTTCAAGCAAGGTCTCATTTCCTAAGTCTGACGCCCAGGGGTAGAATCCATAATGCAGGGGCCTAAGTATGTTGGGCCATTTTGGAGTTCCTTACTTCAAGTATAGTATAATATAGTATACCCGAAAGCCCTATTCGAATTATCAAGGCCCCTACATCGCTATGCCCTTCAACTTTCAAGCCCTAACAACACGGCCCCATGGAAAACAAGACACAGCGGTGCATGACCGGGCTGTTCCGGTAGCGCTCGACGTGGGCCTTCGCATGACTTCTAGGTTGAAAGGCTGAATCATGGACGAAAGCAGGCATCTGAACTCCAAGCCATGATCCACGCAACTCAAATCCTCAATTCCCCCAGGGTTCATGTACCCAAATAGTAGATACTTTGGCCCCAAAGTACCCAAATAGGGACTACTTTATGGTACATGGACCCCGACACCTTAAACCCTATAGAACCTATATTAGATACCTTAAAGGAGCGCTTATGGGTACGTTTAAAGGAAATCTTAAAAGACGTACATGGGCCTTTAGGGATTGTTCTCAAACTATCCATGCAACTGACATCCTCAATTGTTCGACCCCTAAAACCTTAAACCCCTAAAGCCAAAAAACCCTAAAACCCCCAAATCCCAAAACCCTAAAACTCTAAGCCCCAAACCCCTAAAATCCTAGACCCAGGATGAAACTCCCCAGTGCAGCACCGAAGTTGAACTCAAATGGTAGCAGCAGAGTAATGTCGGGGCCTTTAAGACCCGTAATATTAGGGCTTAGGGTTTAGGGTCTAGGGGAGCCTTAATATTTAGAATAGGGTTTTCGGTATACTATAGTTATAAAAAGGACCCCCGTCAAAAAATAGTATGGGTAATTAATAAGCCCACTATCGTATGCCAACCCATTCGAAAAAGGTCCTTGCCTGAACACCCGAAACACTCCTACCGCATAGTCTCCGTGGTAGATCCTTCTCTTAGTGAACCCACTCCTCTCTGGCTTTGATCGTATACTAGTTACTGAAGAAGAGGGGTACAAAAGACGAACTACAAAGAGGACTACATCTAGTATACTATATACTATATCTTATACACTATAGGCTTCCTTTTTACTGTAAAAGTACAGATCATACTTAGTATTATACTGTATAATATACTCTACGCCACGCAACCCCATGATTGAGGCCTGCAGGGTGAAGCAAGCACCAGAAAGGCCCAGCCTCGAAACCCTGGTGCGGACTGCTCCAGCGCACCTCCACTTCTATCCCAGTTTCGGGCAGGGTCAGTGGCACATAGGTTCTAAGGGGGCTTTGGGGTTTTCAGCTTTGGGGGTCCTTAATAACCTACAAGAATTTCTTTCAACATGATAGAAAAAACTTGATATAGTCAGGTATGGTTCGGTGTTCATAAGTGTTCGCAGGTTTCGGCTTATGGAAGCTCGATGTTCTGTGCACACCACCACGACGCATGTGGGTAGTTCTCTAAATTAGGGTCCCTGTTTAGATCCCCGAAAGTAGTACGGCGCCCTTATAGAACGGACCCTAAAAGGGACCCTAAGTTCGAGAACTACCCATGTGGATCTGCGGTGTTTGGGATTTCTTGATCAGCTGTCCCAGATATATAATGTAGGGGCCTTAATGGGGGGGCGGCTCCTTATTATAATTGTAGTTTACTATACCCCCAAACCCCATTCTAATTATTTCGGCCCTGTATTACTCCATGCCCTCAAGTTCCTGAATCGTAGACATTAGGCCGAAGCTCGCAAGCGACTTCACAATGAAATCCGATACATGAGCTATCAGACCTGAGTATGACATACTGTTGATGGACAAAATCCTGCATGATTAAGGACCCTAAACTATGGGAATTATGGTATATTCCTTCTGATGGGTAATGCAGGATTCTGACCATCAACCGTATCTGGAAGGTGACGGCCCTCTGTTTCGGACCCATGGTACAGGCCGCACTACTACCCTGATCCAGGCAGAAGACGCTTACATCCTAGCAGTACAGTACGTCCCCAAATCCCTAACTTGACCTGGAGACTGCAGAACGCAAGAAACAAGAGCACTGTGTAAGCCTCTCTTCTTCAACAACCAGGCCCAAAAGAGTTCGAACTTTTTAGGATAGTCCTAATACATAAGGCCAAAAAGTTTAAAGTTCTCCCATTAGCTATCTAAGAAGCTTTAGGACATAAAATAGCCAGCATGGAAGCCCCACGTCATTAAGAGCAAGGGAGAACTCAAATTCTGCATAGCGTAGCATCCAAAACTTGCGATCAAGGGATGTCTCCACGATCCAGACTTTCCCACATGTCTGAATTGGGGGACATTCCCGACATGAGAAATGTTTCAGGAGAGATCGATGGATAATGAGTAGCAGTCTTCACCAGCACATGCAATAAACCGGAAACAGCTACAACAGCAAATGCATAAGGTTTGATTCATAGCCCACGACACCATAAGCCCTGTAAACCCTAGCCCTAGCCTCTAAACCCCAATACCCTACCAAAAAAGGCCGATAAAATATCCTACTACACCTACGTTCTAAAGCCTTGACTCCTGAACCCAGGACAGAGCCTGACAGACCTTGGTCGTGGGCAGCGACCAGCTCGCAAATCCGTCGAAGGCTGCCCACATGTCGTCCACGGCCACTCTGTCCACGAGGTTCACGAAGGCGTAGCCTTCAGCTTGAGCGAACAGCAACAACTAGTCGACGTGGAATGTAGTGGGTCCAGCAGAAGGAGCAGTACTAGTCGTCGTCGCAGCAGCGGCAGTAAGACTAGTGGAAGAAACCATACCCGCAACAATACTATCAACGGGACTTTAGGGTTTAGACTTTATTGGTTACACCATTACACCCAAACAGATGCAAACTGATCTTGAGGACCACGGCCCTACTTGGGGGTTTCCCAACTAGGATGTAGGGGTCCGCAGAATTAGGATGCTACTTCCTCGGTTCTATATTAAGCTCCCATATTCGGTTTAGAGTTCAGGGTATTGAGTTTAGGGTTTACGGTTTAACTACCCATATTCGGTTTAATTAGGGCTTAGGGTATAGAGCCTTGGGTTTAAGTTTACGTACTCCCGAATTTAGACCATCTAGGCGGCCGAGGTTGGCATCGCGATAAAAGTCGCAGGGCAGGTATGCGAAGTTGTATCGGCCAGCAAAGCCTTTCGAGTCCAACAACTCCAAGAGCATTTCCCGCGTGTAATCGTTGGGCACATTTCGCAACATCACCTGTCTTCCCCAAAAGCGCATGACGAGGAAGGCTTGACACACTACACTGTCATAGTCAAATCTAAAGGTTGGGGAATGGAGAACCCTGTCAAACCACATCACAGCCCTATCAGTAGTAAATACGAAGCCCTTGCAAAAGCCTGAACGCGATCCTTACATTGATAGACTCCCTCACAAAATCGGTGTTACATGCATACTCTATATTGAAGAATGATAAATTATATACATCATATATTCCATCTTAGGCGCTAGAGATTCTGAGGCGCCCTTTTACAAAAATCACTACCTGCGTATCTGAGACCCGAAACCCAAAACCCTAAACCTGAGCTAAGTGACTGTTGTCTTGCTCTCCACCTGATGACTCGGCTTCACGGCCACTTCAAGCTTCTCTGTCGAGTTGTTGGAAGCAGAAGGGCTGTCGTCCTCGTTTAGGGCATTAGGGTGTAGGGTTTAGGATTTAGGGCTTAGGGCTTCCCCAGAGAGCCCAATACCCCCTATAATCAAGGAATATACCTTACCTAAACCCTAAACCCTAAACCCTGAACCCTAAACCCTAAACCCTAAACCCTAAACCCTTAAACTATAGGCGCCGTAATATTATGGTTTAAGGTATATTCCTCAATGAAGGGGTATGGAGCCCTCTGGGTCTTACACCTCCAGGGTTTCTGGCGATAGGGTTGGAGGGTTTAAGGCGTGTTTGTCATTATGGTTTACCTGTAGCCGAAAAAACCTACCGTTTTAGGGTTGCCTATTATGGTTTCTATATATAAGTCCTTAAAAAGGTAGGTTTTTTGGGCCACAGGTAAGGTATATTCCTTAATTAAGGGGTATTGGGCTCTCTGGGTGCCTACTGTCGTATGACCGCCCTTGCTGTTGAGAACCCCCCTCCTGCTTGGGCGGGTCTTCCATGCCCTTTCCAGGCTCATCAACCTCGGGGCTCTTTTGGGACGCCTTTCAAAAACTGAAAGGTCTGAGGTTGAACCCATGGGCCACTAGTATGGGCCCTTAACCTTGGGATCCTTATACACCCAATATATACCTTACAGTAGCCTTAAAGGTACCCTTAAGGGTCGCTAGAAAGGCCTAAGGGTCCATATTTGCGGCCCATACTTCTAACCTTAGATTTTGGGACACCTTGCAAAAACTGAAAGGTTGGTCCTGCTGAAGAACAGAAAGCATGTGAAAGCACTAAGCCCTAAACCCGTAAACCCTCAACCCGAAACCCTGGGCCCTAAACCCCAAACTCCAAACCCTAAGCCCCAGATTCGATCAAGCCTGAACCCCAAAGCTTATCAACCCTAGACCTGCGAAGTCTACCAACATCTACCAAGCCTAAACTCCTAAAACGGTTTAGGGTTTAGGGTTTAGGGTTTAGGGTTTAGGGTTTACGGTTTAGGGTTTAGGGTTTAGGGAAATTTCGTAGACCCAACACCGAAAGATCATGTTCAGGAGCGGCCGAGAAGCCTCTTCACACACGGCTGACGTGATGAAGTCGGTTTGGCTTCGGCGCAGGCGTCTGTAAAGCCGCATGAGGCCACAGCCGTCATCAACCTGGGATCTTGGCTGTCATGGTTTGGGAGTTTCGGTGGGGCTTCTGATTTTGGTAAAACTGAAACGGTTCGGAACTCGGAAAAAGGGCAGTACGTGTTCAAGAACTTAGCGCAAGCTGCCAGAACAAAGAAAGCAGGTTTATGAGCGTCGTTGATAACTTTCCTCCACAAGATCCCAGCGACGTGGATGAAAGTGCTCTTCACGATCACCTCGCACGTGACCTCATAGTCTTCATCGCAACGCTCAGACCGGGGGCTGCGAGAAGAAAGAACCTCCGAGGGAGTGCCCTCGGTCCCCCGGTCGCTGTAGGTCTCGGCGGAAAGGATCATCTGGCTGGAGTGGCAGGACATGGGAGCTACGCCTCGAAGTTTCACTGCTCGGTGACAGTCTCGGAGCCAAATGCAGTCTGCAAAAAGCTGCGTTGGTGATGTTGGGCATATCCAGGCATGTTCTGCCCAGGTCATCAGCTAGTATTTATCACCCGAAATCATCCACAAAGACTCATTCTTCCTATGACCAGGGGTAAGTAGTCGTCATTGTCACGAGCCAGTCTTAGAGGAATGTGGATATCTCGATCGCCCTTCTGGCTTGCGGCATTTCCTACTGAAGCCCTACTCAGCCTCGGCCTCTCCGAAAGGGCCTTAAGCGAAAGTCTGTAGACGGTGGATGTAGGTAAGCATAGACACTTACATGCAGACAGACAGATAGACAGACAGACAGACAGACGTACGTCGCAGTTTCAGGATTGCAGGGTTTTGGGCTTGAGGGCTTTATGGTTCTAGGGTTTATAAGGTTTAGGGGTTCAGGCTTTCAGGGTTTAGGCTTCAGGATTTAAGCTTTAGGGGCGAATCGAATAGTGTAGGGGCCTTTATATTTAGAATAAGGTTTTGGGGGCTCCGTATTATAATTATAGTATACAGTATAAGATACCCCTAAACCCCATGCTAATTAGGGCCCCTATAGTATGGAAATATCAACTGCCTGAGCTGCAGCCGGGCTTAGCCGCGACAGCCGCACCCGTCCAGGCTTCGTCTCCTGTGGCTTTCGAGCTAGGCTTTGCGATTTGCATGAGCCACAAGGAACAGGTATGCACTGTTCCTAGTGTTACCGTTGCGGTTCCTTGTTTGGGTGACCTTATAGAATCCTATAATATAAAACTTATACAGCTGGTGGAACCAAAGCTTAGGGCTTAGGATTTAGGGTTATAAAACTGGTGGAACCAAATACAGGAACTACAACGGAGACTATAGGTTGATTTCGTCATCACTCTGGAAGAACAACTGACTATAGACTTCCTGAACACGGTTTACTGTTTAGGGTTTAGAGTTTAGGGCCCACTAACTCTATGATCATGGAATCAACTCGCAGCAACCATTCCGGTGCATTCGCTTGAGAGTCCATAACCAGGAACGAGCAAACTGGACTTGCTCAAAATCCTACAAAATTCAGACCGATAAAGTCGCAAGGGGTTTGGGGAGTGTGCTCCCTACCTCCGTGCAGGGATGTGTTCGTCGAACAAGGATCATGGCACCCTGCTTCTGTTTTAATTTTATGGTTTGGTCTTTCTGGCCAAATGCTTTGCGGATCAACCAGTCAGTCTCCCCGTCTAGACGCCTGACAAAGTAGCACACTAAACCGTAAACCCCTGAACCCTAAAACCCAAACCCCAAACCCTGAAACCCCTAAAGCCCTGAACCCTGAACCCTGAACTCCAAACCCTAAACCCCTAAACACTCTACACTACAAGATCGATGCCAGGGGTGCCTCCCCGAGGCTGAGGAAGTAAAGCACGAGTGCCTGGTGCGCAGTGTCCACCTTGCTGTGCAGAAGACTTTGAAGTTTCAAGGTTCAGGAAGTTTAGACGTTTTTGGGGTTTAGGGTTTAGGGTTTAGGGTAGGGGTGTAGGGTTTAGGGTTTAGGCGTTTTAGGGGTTTGGGGGTTAAGAGTTTGTTCTTTTTCTTGCTTTCTGGGGTGTAGGGGTTCAGGGATTTAGAGCTTTGGGAGTTAGGGGTTTACAGCTTGGGGTTCAGGGTTTAGATTCTAAGGCTTAAACCCTAAACCCTAAACCCTACTGGTAGCAGAGTTTGGGGTCCATTCCGGGGCGTGGGCTCTCTGGTAAAGCTTTTGGTTTGGGTTTGGGGGTTGAGGCACCTTTCCTAAAGGTGCCAAAGCAGGTCTACACAGTATGCATACCCAACCATCTACCTATCTGCCTGCCTCGCCCCTTATGGACATAAACCTATAAAGGGCCCCCAAAAATATAAACCCAACGATCGAAACGTCGCATGGCCGAGCCCAGCTTCACAACCCACACCTAAACCTACGCGTAACGTACAGTAAAAGCTTCCAGCACTGTGCCCGGAAGGGATGCAGGTTCCGCAAGTCGATCAAGTAAACCAAGAAGGGCGCAGGCTTTAGAGATTTATGTTCATGGCTCCACGCAAACCCTGAACCCTAACCCGTACCCCCTAAGCCCCATCCTCCTAGCCTCGCGAGGCTGCTTGCTAAGTTGTCAGCGGGGGAGGGGAGGAAGCTAAATGACGAGGGGCTTCCCTAGGCAGACTTTCCTCTACGATGGGCTCTAGAATAAGGAAACGAAACCTAACACACAACCGACAAGTTAAAACTCCAAGACTCATGCAGCCTTTGGGGACGGCAGGGCTTGAGCTGCTAAAGCCTGAGCCCTCTGCGATTTTGGGATGTAGGGGTTGCGGTCCAGGTTTTTTAGTTTTTGGGGTTCACGGTTTGATATTGTCATTGCTGTTGCCTCGTTCTCAAATGTACTCAGTATCAGTATGAAAACTGATTCTGGTATTGATGTAGATTGGCGATGTCAGTAATATGGGCATTGGCAATATCAGTAGTATGTTCGCTGTTATTACTTTTGTTAGATCTTCTTCAAACCCTGAACCCTAAACCCTAAGCCAGAAGCAGGCCGGGGCCTCTTGAACGTCAGTCGATCTGGGACTTGCGTCTTTGAAGTGCTTATTGCCATTCAGAGCCGGGCTTACTATTCAGTGAATTTTATGTGGCTTTTTCTAGCCTTGCATGTGATTTGCCTGTTGAGTGAGGTTTAGGGTCTGAGAAAGCCACCCCCGAAAGCTTGCTTCGACTCAGGGCGGCGTCTTGCATCATTTTGTCCCTTGTTGCAGCGCGTTCGCCACTCCAAGAGCAAGTTTTAACAAATGGCGACAAACATTCCGAGATTCGTGATAGCATGATACATGCTCATCTTGTCCACCAGCAAGGAGCTAGGTCTTCAAGTCGATCTGCTGCCGTTGTTGAAAACTTTATACTGCACAGGTACAGTTACAGTTACACTATTGCGAAAGCCGGCCACGACATGTTGAAAAACTTGAACCGGAATCAAGCTTATCTTGAAGTCTGAACCTCATCGTTGACGTTTAATCCCTATCATCCCTGAACCTTAAGAGATGCTAGCGAACCATTCGCCTCATGCTGTTGGCAAGATGATGCAAGTCTCTGGTCAAAGGTGGAGAAGGCAAGACACGGGCAACGAACCCGAATAATGCATGGTGCAATGGCGGTCTGGTTCCGTATGCTTGGTAACTCAGCTTCCTCTTGTAAATCCAAAACTTAAACCTTATACCCGAAATCCTATCTTTCTCCCCCTTCACGTGAACCACGGCGAGGGAAGCAGCTAGATCAGCTTTTTAAGCTGACTCTTCTGCCTGCCGCGGGAGCCTGGAGAGCCCAATTGCCCCGTAAGTCATACGGAACCTGCGTTGCAGCATAAATCCTAGATGGACGCCTAGGTTATAACAATAACAACCATCACAATAATGCTATTTCTTAATGTTCCTGTTTCGTTCTCATTCTGTTCCCCTAAACCCTAAACCCTAAACTGCCGAGAGCGCTGCTGACCATTTGCATGGGCGCTCGAGGCTCCGACCGAGGCCCCCGGCCGAGCGTCTCGTCAGAACGGTGAGGGAAGGTAAAGCCTCCCGGTAAACGGGGACGGAAAAACCTCACACACCCCGGGCGTCTAATTGGGACCCCACATTGCTTTTTTGGTCAGGCCGGAAACCTCTCGGGGCTACCCGTACTGGGGCCCCAGGCTGGCAGATTCCAGGGGCCGGGATTGCTGGGCCGATGTTAGTTTTTGCCTCCCTGCCACAGAAAGCTTCCCTGCCAGGAGGTGATGACACTTCGACGACCTTTTACAGAATGCGAGGGGCGGGTTGCTTGTTGGACACACTTGCTTCTCGTCGAACGGCCGGCACAGCCCGCGAGGTGGATTGCTGTGAAATGTGGTCGTTTATGTGTCGAACCGCGAGGGGAAGCAGAGAGCAAGAAAGCCCCCCTTGAGAGGGGTTTGGGGGGTGAACCCGAAACCGTAATTGGTAGTAGGGCTGTTTGGGACGGGACTACATGCTGACGCCAGCGCGCGATTAGTGGGCCTAAACCTAAACCCCAAACCCCTACACCCTAAACCCCTAAACCCTAAAACCTGAACCTAAACCCCTAAACCCTAAACCCCTAAACCCCTAAACCCCACAAAGGGGGGGAACTTTGGGCTCTCTGGAAATCTGCAACAAGACCTGCGGCCTTCTACGCCTCCGGCCGGATTCAGAAAACGTCTCGGTTTAGGTTTTAGGGTTTAGGGTTTAGGGTTTAGGGTTTAGGGTTTAGGGTTTAGGGTTTAGGGTTTAGGGTTTAGGGTGTAGGGTTTAGGGTTTCGGGCCATGGTCATGATAATTTCGGCTTAAGTGGTTTAGGTGTTTGGGGTTTAGGCATTGCGGTTTAGGGTTAAGGGCAAGGGTTTAGGTTCAGGGTTAGATGGGTGAGCCTGGGTATCTGTCGCATACTTGAGTTCGTTGAACCTTGTTTCATGGTTTAGTTATGGCTATGGCAAAATTCCTTGCGAGGGGCATGCCTGACCTAAACAAAGCTTCTGCCAGACATCCCTCACCCCTACTCGAAACCCTAATGCTTCAAAACCTGCATGGTTTGCAGTTCAACTGCAAAGCACTCTGGTCCATTTCTAGAGAACTACCCTTATGGAAAGTGCAGGAGTTTTCCCATCATCAGTAAAAGCGTGGAGACTATGAGGTCTCGAGAGTCTGAGGTGCAGAGTTTTTACATCGTTTGGGCTTTCCTAAATAACCCTAACCCCTAAACCCCTAAACCCTTAACCCCTAAACCCCTAAACCCCTAAAATCTGAGGGAAACAATACCATTTTGTGGTCAAGTCTGCCCTGAGACGCTCTCACCGAGCCCAGAGACTCCTGTGTCCCTTGGTTTCAGTTAGGGCTCAGGGCTTATAGGGTTTATAGGGTTTAGGGTTTAGGGTTAACCCCACACCCTAAACCGTAGGGTTTAGGGATGTTTAGGGTTTAGGGCATTTTAGGGTTAAGGGTTTGAGGTGGAGGGTTTAAGGTTTAGGCTGTAGTTCATTACGTGGTGATAAAGACCGCAAAATTCATCCGGTATCTCTAGCCGAACTATATAAAGGTTGACAAGGGAATGCCTCGCGAGACACAGGCGCCTCGGGGGGGTGGCCAGGAACCCTTGGAGTTTCTGGCGACTGCGAATGACCCAGAGAACCCAATAGCCCCTTAACGAAGGAGGATACCTTAAATTATTGGGGCCTTAGTATTTTTAATTTAAGGTATATTCCTTGATGAAGGCAGGCACCTTAAATTATTATGATTTGGGGTATATTCCGTAAGTTTAGGCGGTGTTGGGTTCTCTGGGGACCGGCCCCACAACATCAATTCTGCGCTTGGGCGCATCAGAGATCAGGACATACAAAGGTTTAGGGTTTAGGGTTTAGGGCCATGGTCATGATATCTCCGGTTCAGGTGGTTTAGGGTTGTTTAGAGATTATAGGGCTTCGGGCTTATAGGGTTTAGGGTAGAGCGTTTGGGGTGATAAGGAGCAGGGCACTGCAAGACAACAAGTGGACATTGATGAGGGGGGTCAGCTTGTTGAACATCGTCGTAGGCTTCGGACTGTAAGTAAGGTTTGATCGTCTTTCCTGGGGATGTATCACGACATGACAAGCCTCAATCTAGGCACCCAGTGTGGCAAATCCAGGTCCGTGAATGCAAGCACGGTTGCTTGGCAACGGAGGCTTGCGGGAAATGTCTGGCCGAGCCACAAATGAAGATGATTCAGACAAGTGCAGCGTAATGCTGCCATGCCCTGTCCCAAGATCACGTAGCTGCGAAGCTCGATGTGAAACCTTCCATACGGATGGGGAAAACATCCCAAAAACGAAACCCGTACTGTTTGTGGTTTCGGGTTAAAGGTGTAGGGCTTATGGCTTGGGGCTTATAGGGCCTAAGTCCAACACTCGAAGACGAGCTGCACATGGTTGAGGCTCTATACAAGTATACAGCATCTCATGGACTAGGTCCCGCTCTATCTTAAGTACCCTGACGTCTGGGAGTAATGGGAGTCTCCTTACTATGATGTAATGCAGGGTTTTGTCCATAAGCAGCAGACTCCCTTCCAGGAGAAAGGAAGCCAACCAATATCTTGACCAGCGCCTGATTCCGAGCCCTGACCTACCAGTAGGGGTCCAACGTACCCTGTGCATGGGTAGCTGGGCTTATAGAACTACGCGTAGCTTCGTGGCCCCTGGAGCTAAGGTTCGACTGGGGCTCGGTGTTTAATCTTATAGAACTCCCCAAGGAACGCTTGTTAGGATCTTCTCGTCTGCTGAATAGAAAATCCACAACTCCAGCGGCTAAACCAACAGCCCTGACCCCAATGCTCTTTTGCTCTGGAAGATCCTGCGATATGAACTTATAAAGGTGGCTAATGACAAGCCGTTGGATTACGATTAGACTGCTCATGATCCTTCCTAGCTGTCAAACACAACTGAAAATTATCTCGTGCCGACTTTCGGGTACTTGACCCTTAACCCTAAATAAGACCCCAAAGCTACGGAGGTTTGGGTACTGTAAGCAACTGTAATCTCTGGCGAAGTGGGAAAGCCCTTGCCTTTGGATCAAAGCGGTGCTCGCGCAATAGCCTGTCAACGTGAGCGAGGGCACATGCTCGTGCCTTAAGAACCCAAAACCTACTTTTTTGTAGGGTGTCTATAAATCCCATATTAGGGTTTATAATAAGAACCTACAAAAAGTGGGTTTGCGGTTCTTAAGGTGGGGGAAGGACAGGAATATCTACCCTGCGCAGGAAGATCCTGATTCCAAGGACATCGGTACCCTAGGTCTTGGAACTATCCCCTCACTTCGGGATATAGGCTTCTCCCACACGAACACATCGAACATGTGACATCAAGCCAAAGGCTCTGAAAATAGATGCCGATCCGACAGAATCGGAAGCAGGAATCTGAAGCCAAAACTCAGCAAGGGCCGTGTCTTATTCGCTGCTATTGGGGGAAAGGGTGCCTGTAAGTGCAAGAAGCATGATACACCCTTAAAGCCATCCATGTACATCATCATTATCGAGCCATATTCAACCTGTGCAAAAACCTTCTAGAACCCTGTAGAATCGCACTAAACCTTGTAAAACCTGCGACGGTGTAAGTCTTCGAGATCTTTGTCACGGGAGCTGTGTTCCCGGTTCCGGGGTACAGTGCAGGAGTCTGAATAAGTAGAATGGGTTTATCCATTCCTATCACTACTATTTCTCTGTTGTTCTTACTTACTACCAATACTGTTGAACAGTACCATGCTTATTGTTATCCAGAAATACGACTATCTCTGCCAGGACGCCATGCCCCCACAAGCTGAAGGTGTCGTGTTAATCTCGGATGACATAAGGACCTTCAGAATTGGAATAGGTTCTTGAGTTTACCTGAAAGTCGAAATGTAACAGAAAGAACCCGAAGGATGTATGCTTGTATCTTAAGCCCCTACTCCATACCTTATCGCCTGCAAGTAAAAAATACGAACCCTAAGGTATAATATTGGTACTTCTGTAAGCCAATACCCCTTAATTAAGGAGTATACCTTAAAATCATAATATGAAGTTTAAGGCCCCGATAATTTAAGTTATATGCCTTACTTAAGGGACATTCGGTTCTCTGAATACCTGGTTAGGGATTCGGGTCTGCCCTAAACCCCTAAACCCTAAA